GGCGACAGCGGCGGTCCGCTCGTCACGCTGGAGAACAGCAAGTACGCCCTGATCGGCGTCGTCTCGTTCGGCCGGCCGTGCGCCGTGGCGAACACGCCCGACGTCTACGCCAGGGTGACCGCGGTGCTGTCCTGGATCCAGAGCAACACGGCGGATGCCACCTACTGTAGCTAGAGTGCGGCGGTCCGCCCGCCCGACGGCCTGAGCTGACGGGCGTCTCTACAACTGCACTTGCCTGACGTGTATTTCGTCAAGAATGAACGTAGGCCATAGCTATGGGGTCCTGTCTTGGTTTTAGTGTGCCTTTCGTTTCGCTGTAGCATGGAACGGTTTCATTTGTCGGCCTGATTCACTATTGTAGTTTATTTCAGGTCACAAATTGTCTTGAAATAGGTTTGCTTGCTTGCTTGGCTAGCTTGTTGGGGTTCAGACAGCTTTGTATAACCTGTATCTATGACGTCTCCCCCGTTGACGTTGAAAATATAAAGTTCAGCTTTATGTTTTGGGAAGAGAAGAAACCTTCAAAGGTCATTTTCCGCTACATCCAGCAACGCAACTCAGTTGCCAATCTTCACGCCAACAACTCTGTGGTCTGCTTGACTGAAGATCATATACTACAAACTAATAAGCCTCCCCCCCTCCAAAAACGGCACAAAACACTGTTCATGCATTAACACGCGCTGGGCTGGGTGCAGTTTGAGCCTTCCCTCCGAAGATGGCTCCGGAACAATTTGCTAACCACGCGGAGCAGCCGCGCCAAATTTGGCATAACTGGAGACAATTGAATCGCGGATGTTTGGTGCCAAAAACTGAGATTTACCTTCTGAGGTCGCTGATCTACGGCTTCAGTGAAGATAGTTTCTAGGGAATCGCTCAACCTGATCCAGCAACGGAATGTTGGAGGAAGGCATGCATCTCTGAGATAGTTTCTTAGGTAACACAGCAGTTGGATAAACAAATTCCATTTATCTGGGATTAGGTATGAAGGTCAAATCAAGGTCAAAACCAGCCTGTTTTTATTGTACAGCTTGCTGTATACGGTGAACTTTTGCGCTCATTCTGAATTTATTGATAAGCCGCATCATGCATCTTACTTGGACTTTTTAAAAGTCAGAATAGTCCGCTGACTTTAAATGACTCAGATCAACATTTTGTTTTTAGCAACATGCTGCCTGGCGCAATTCTTAACGATTATTCAAATGCAAAATCTGAGCAGTATTTTGTGATCTTGGTCACCATGGCCCTCGAAAGGCAAACTAAGTCACTGGCTTAAAATGAGCGACAGCAATCTTTTGCTTAGAACAGGTATCTAGGTGCACGGTGGTTACATGAGATCGTCTGGGAGCACTTTAGACACCAATCTGGAGTTTGATCTTGTTTGACCTGATTTGACCCGAGTGTCATCACCTAGGAACTTCCAATTATGACACAAGTGAGTTCACGTAACGTTCAACAAACGCCGTGAATTCTAAATATCTAGCCTTCTTAGTTCTTGAGGCCTCAGGGGGTCAAACCGACTTAAGAAACCGAAGGCACCATTTGCTCAATGAATCAAGGGCTCGGAGTTAACAATTTTAATGAACGTAATGTTAAAAAGAATGTTTCACACAGCCTAAAAACACCAGCAAGCAGTGCCAACACGTGCGACTCACGCAGTCCTTCCGTGCCATACAGCCCTTAAGCACAGTGCCGATGTGCTGCTACACACAAGTAAGTACCCCGCCCGCATGTTAGCACAGACTGGAGTACAGACTGCTAACGCTGCTAACACAGACTGGAGTATACAGCGCAGACACAGAGGACACAGAAGACAAGGCACAAAAGGGTCAATAATTCGTGTTAACATGGCTCGGCCATGTTAGTCTGGAAATATAACACAAACAGTCGGAATTGATTAGTGAAGCAAATTAATAACGCAGTTTTGAGCGCGCGAATCATGGCAGCGAAATCCTCGATACTAGGCGTTGCTGTCTCCGCAGGCAGTACGGCGTCGGTCTCGCAGCTCATACTGGGTCGTGGTCAATGCGTGGACGAAAATGATGACGCATTTTAAACAAGCATCTTTTAACGCTGTAGGACATCAAACTGCGCATTTGGAATGTAGTGCAGGTGTATCTGTCAACCTGTGATGTTTAGATTGGCGATAAGAACGGATTGGCCTTCGCACTACCACGAAGTGGTGCTGGAATCTGGCGGTAGAACTGGAGGACTAAAAGAAGAATCTGCGTTTGTCGTGTTTCTGTAACTGTTAATCCTCAAATTTGTAAAAGAGATACGCTTAGCTTCATCTTTAACGGCATGAATTAATATTGAAAAGACATTCGAGACCATTATTTTACGACGGTCGTTCAGGGATGAAAAAAGCTTTTGATTTACCAGATGTGATCGGTGACAAAGACAGACACTTTTGCGGGCTAATTTGAGACAAAATTGCGAAAATCGCAACAAATTACAACATATCAAAACCATATTACAACAGACCATCCCAGCTAAACGAAGCTTATAGCTTTGTATTAGTCAGTACTCGCTAACGCTAACGTTAACGCTCGTAGTCTGAACATTTCGCCCGTCGCGGTGTATGACTTGCTTGCCGTTCGCAGTCGGCATTGTGCGCACAAGCCGGAGGGAGCGCAGGCGCCGCCCGTGTATGGCGCGGGCCTCAGTTGCACCCGAAACCTCGGAGTGGTTGGTTCAAAGATCTACCGCCAGGCGGCCGTCACCCGGGCTGTCGGCTACGCCGGTGCTGGAGACGCGGCCGGCCGCTAGGTGTCGGGCGCTTTCGTACTAGGCATGCTAGGTGCCGCAACTCAGTGCTGCGCATGCGCGAGGAAGCCAACGTCCGATCCCAGCGCGGGCACGATGTGAGACGTGATGAACGGTTTCTCAGGGTGCTCCGCACCGTGGCATTTCTGGGATAGGCTCTTGTGGATCGACCAAAGACGGTGGGACTCCGCGGCCTTTACGTAGGATTCCTCCACGTGCATCTAAATGTATGCACTCAGTGTACTGGTTCACATAAAATGTGCGTTCGTAATTATCTGTTAGAGCAAATTCCAAGGCAAAGGTCAGTGTTTAGGGTATAAAGTAATCGGATCAATTCAAGTAATGTTTGCTCAAGTAGCGTGCGGAAAAACAGGTGCAGAAATTTGTTTTGAAGCTGAACCCTAAAAATGATAATGAATGAAAAAAAGAAGGTGAAAAATTATAGATAAAAATAGCAAACTTCATCCTCAGTCAGAAGGCACAGTCCCCCCCCCCCCCCGCCAAACTGAATAGGAAACCACACACCTCTTGGTTGGCTACGTTAAGTACGCCCGTATCGAATAATTTCATGAGTCAGGTTTCAAGAACTGCGTTTATTTAGCCTCGACCATTGTTCATTGTTTGGTGGCCAGCAAATGACACTCATATGCAAATGAAATCCCAACACGAAAATGTTCGGTGGTTATACCTCATTGTAGTTTGGCTGCCTTTGCTTTTGTGGTGTATCGCATGAGTTATATTGCAATGGTTTCTTAAACATTAAACATTAAACATTAAACATTTGCCTCCAGCTGACAACTTAGACGGCTCCAAATTTCATCGGTGACAGAAAAGGCACTTCTTCACCCTTGCGGTCGTCCTCGCGCGCACGGCGCCTGCCGCCTGGCGTCACTCGCAGTGGCCGACGCCGTTCGGATTTACGAAAACTGCGGAAGCCGTAGCTGTCCTTAGTCCTGACATTGTGGGCGCGCATGCTCAACCCTTTCGATGTAGTTTGCTTTATTAGTCGATTCTGCACAAGAACAAACGTTTTCAGACAAATATGGCACGACTTCATTCGTTTTCGAACTGATTTCGACCCAATATACTCAACACTAATAAGACCCCTTATTCGTTTTCTGGTCGGGGGTTCCCTTGAGTAGAACGCTAGGGGACACCTTATTGCTTCAGGTCAATGGCTGAAGGGCCATTTCGTCCCACCGCGGGGTGTCTTCCGGTTGTCATTCTAGCGACAGGGGCCGGGGCACCCTGGTCGATCCGGAGGTCCATGTAGGGGTACATCACATCATATCGTTTCATTCCCTGACTCGGGAGCCCTTCTGATCAGCGCAGTTGACGTGGGAACCATCACTAACGCGAGAACATCCCTGATCGCCGCAGGTGGTGCAATAAGTGAGGTGATAAACTCCTATATATATATATATATATATATATATATATATATATATATATATATAGGAGCTATATGTATATATATATATAGGAGCTATATGTATATACATATATATATATATATATATATATATATATATATATATATATAGCTCCTAAATTCATAGACTCCAGTTGGGCTTAACGGGCCCATGCTGTAATTGGGTTGGAGGGCCCACCGTTCGTTACGGGAGGCTTTGACTGACACAGGACCCTTCACACCTCCATGCGAACACTCATAATTTGTCATGGTTCCTTTCATTTTCAGAGGGCCCCGACCCATGCAAGAGGCCTTTTTCATTCAATGTCCCGTTCCAGTGCCTGTCAACAAATATTCTCTATTGGGCCCCTGAATTCGACCTCCGGACGGCCTTTCGGGCCCTTCGGGCTTTCAAATCGGGTTCTTAATAGTAGGAGCCAAGGGGGGCGCGTGCATCCTGTGCCACTCCCCCCCCCCCCCCTCTGCTTGCGGTACTGCATCGCGCTCGCGATCTCGAAACCCGAAGGAATGTCTCAGCGGCTGCAGCGACTACCGATGAGCTGGCAGTTTTTCCTAAAATGTCTCGGTGCAGTATTTCCACAAACAGACCGTTTTTGCTGCCATCCAAAGATTCGATCCGATCATTTGTGGTACGCTAGACAGACATGTCCTGAGTTCAGATCCCTGCGACGTTCCTCCCCAAAATGTTCCTACACGCATGATATTACTTTACCTTCACATGAAGTGATGCCAAATTCATATACATATATTGCGCACTTGGTTCGAGTATCCTGCAACTGCCGTAGTAAAGTAATAACCCTTCATGGCGGCACGTGCTTTTGGCTCAAGCGGGCAGGATACGAGCGAGTGGTGTGGCCGGTGGTAGCCGGGCGTATGTAACAAGGTAGTGTTGCAGGTACGTGAGGAGACACGTGCGCTTCATTGTGGTGTGATGTGTTATCCTCCAGAGTTCGTGGAACGGTTGCGATTTGTTTGTCGGACGTGATAATATTTAGACAACATTGACAAACTTGATGCAATTTTGCAGAATTGTGGAGGCATGGTCAGTATCATGGCACACCTCATAAAAAGACATCCATCTTGTTAAACTCTTTAGCTAATGCCTGATTTCCACACTCAAATGATTGGAGTACCCGATGTATGATTTTGCAATGCTGGGGGTGCAGAATTGTGGAATCTGCTAGTCCATGCCTTCTTAGGTAAGCCTATGCTGAATGTTGGCTATGTTTGTATTGTTTGTTTGCCAATGATGTAATGGCAGGCAGATTTGTGGCTACTGTGCTGGATGTGGGGGTCTGACCCCTAAGCTCTGACTTGTAAAACAATGTGTTTAGGCACTCAAGGTGGGCCCTGGCAGGAAATTGAAGTTTGCATTTTTGAACTGGACAGTGCACTGGGATTCTTCACAATTGAGTAGATATATCATAGCATGATAATATGTGTTGTTCAGTGCTTTTGTGGTGCAAATACCTAATGCTTACTGTGCCTCTTGATGATTGGCCATCAACAATTTTTTGTGGGTCTTTTCGATATAGGGAGGAAGCAGTCAAATGACAAAAAGTGTGGCGAGTTTTTTTGGTGTACTGCATATGTTTATTTGGCCAGCAGTTTCTGTTTGCACTGTAAAGGTTCTAAGAAGTGTCAGCCTGGGTGTAGGGTATTTACATATACACACACATGTATGGGGCAAGTGCGTAATAGGGATACTTTTACCATGCCAGTTTTTTGGCCTATTGCATTGTAGTCACTTACAAATTTTAGATGTGGGAGTGTCACAGTTGTTTTGGGTTTTTTAAGTTTGTGATAACAATTGGTAGGTTTGATGAGCCTGGTCATTCTAGCCCCTCCTTGTAGTAGAACTGAGTCAAACTTTCCCTTGTTTAGTCAGTGGGGTGAAAGTGTCCAAATTGTAATCAGATTAGGTAAAAGCATGGTTGTGTAGCCTTGCATTAACCAGCAGAGTACAGACCCTATCAATGCCAGCCTGGAATGAAAAATAGTTATGATAACCAAAAAATTATCCTGTTGTCTGGTAAACCAATTTCAGATATGTGATGCTTAGAAGTATCCTGAGGTGGGCAGGGTAATTATTTGTCTCCATCCAGGTCCTCAATGTTATGTAACAGTCAAAATATTGAATAGAAACAGGAGATGGTGTAATTTTGGATTTAATTGATGTGGGTGAATGTATATGCTGTGATAAACATACATTGCTCTAATGTGAATATCATCTTGATTAAGTTACTTTTCAAATTTGTATGTGGGATCCTACATTTATAGATAGTTGGGGATGGATACAAAGTTTTACCAAATGAGATGAGATATTGGGATCACAATTAAGTTATTGTTCATACTACTGTCCACATCTGGTGTGTCATTTATACACTGTTTTAGCCGGTTAGTCTCTGGTCATGTTATTAAGTCCTGAGAAGGACTGGATGATGCTTGCCTTTCAGCCATGTATGTGCTATGCCTAATGACCGAAGTGTTAACTCAGTTAGTGCCTGCCTGCCATTTGCCTACCTGTGGTAAGGTGGATTTAGTTCACTGTAGGCCCTCAGTTTTGCCTGTCTGGCATGGATTGTGGTGGGTGGCAATGGCAGCAGCAGTGCTTAAGGTTAGATGACTTCAGAGGGCAGGGCAGACCATGTTGAGGATGCTGCTGTTTAGCTTTCATCATAAAGTGATGCAGTTGGCCAGGAATTTTGTAAGGTGGGCTCATACAGCATGCACTGTGTAGCAAGGGCACTGCTCTAATACAGCAAAAGATATAGGCCCTGTTAGATTAGATAGATATTAAGAAGCCCTTTAAGCTCATTTTGCACTCATGTGTGTTTCAGGTAGGTATGTATGTTGCCCTATAACAAATTTTGCATGAATTGTTCTGATTAGATAAAATGTTGCTCCAAGAGTTGAGAGCTATCACACTGGGTGGTAGCTGCAACCCATGACCACACCATTTGATCATGAAATTCCAGTGGTGAGGCAGAATCTTGTGGCATATGTTTGATGTGCTGGGATGCTTCTCCCTGCCCTTTGTCAGTATCTGGCTTGACTTTGAGAGGACATCCTGCTGGCTGCTGGCCCTCCCAATTAGGATCAGTCAGTCAGCACCAGCAGTAACTCATACCCTCACCCTACCTGTGGATTGGGAGCCAGGTCTTATAAGAGGGTGAGCTATGGGTCGAACAGCTTACTTACATCTTTATTTGATAGTTTTCTTACTTGATAAGGCTGGTATAGTAGGCATTATAAATATGTGTTAGCACCATGCTTTGTGAGCATTGAGCTAAGCATCACAGAACTGAGTGCGGACATCATATCAGAACACAATCATGTTAATATGTCATGTTTTCACTTTCAGACACATTGCAGCTGCCAGGAACCATGGGTATTGCGGGCAGAATCCAGAAAACGAAGACTCGTAAGGGTAAGCGACATATAGAAGATAGAGCACCAAAGCTCATTGAAAATGAAAAGAAGGTTCTCATCTTGAAGGGCCACAAAACGAACAATGTTCTGCAAGAATGCCTAAAGGACATCAACTCCTTAAAGCGGCCGCACGCGATCTTCTTCAACCGGAAAAGAGATCTGGTGCCGTTCGAAAACATCACGCCCGTCGAGCAGCTCTCTGCGAAACTGGATGCCGGCCTCTTCGTCATCGGCTCCCACAGCAAGAAGCGGCCGCAGAACCTCATCCTGGGTCGCATGTTCGACCACCACCTGCTCGACATGGTCGAGCTGGGCGTGCAAAGCGCCAAGTCGCTGCACGACTTCAAGAACGCCAAAGTGGCTGCCGGGACCAAGCCGTGCCTCCTGTTCGCCGGCGAGCGCTTCTCCAGCGACGACACGTACGTGCGGCTCAAGAGCCTGCTGATCGACCTGTTTCGCGGCGAGCACGCGACGGCCGTGCGGCTCGGCGGCTTCGAGCACGCCCTGGCCTTCACGGCCACCGAGGCCGGCCTGCATATGCGCAGCTACCGCGTGGTGACGCAGCGCTCGGGCGGCCGCGTGCCCCGCGTGGAGCTCGAGGAGATCGGGCCGTCGCTGGACCTGGTGGTGCGCCGCAGCCGACTCGCCTCCGACGACCTCTTCCGGCGCGCGCTCAAGCAGCCCAAGCAGCTGAAGGCGAAGAAGGTGAAGAACGTGTCGGACGGCAAGCTGGGTGCGCAGATGGGACGCATCCACATGGAGCGGCAGGACCTGCGCAAGCTGACCACCAGGAAGCTGAAGGGACTGAAGCCCGGCAAGAATGCGGCGGTGGAGGGAGGCGCCGGCGACGTGCAGAACCCGATGGACGTGCAGGACGGCGAGGTGACCACCTGACGTCGCCAGCTCGGTGCTGAGCGATACTGGACTTGTAGACGTGGAATGCGTATGCACCGTTTTTGTATCGGAGCGGTGCCCTCGGTGTGAACTCAGTCGGGGCACGTGACGCGGGCGGAGTTCGACAGGTGGTGCGGACGTTTTGCTGCCGGCACTGGTAATTCGTCGCTTCGTGGCTTGCGGCACGCCGTTTGGAATGCCATTGTTGGTATCTTTATGCAAAATGCTGAGCATTGTGTAATTTCGTCAGAGAAATGGTGGAAGGTTTGGGGTTTGGTTTTCAATCGTCCTGTTAGCTGCGGTGCTCTCTCTCCATGTGCCCATGTCCAAACATCATACGCATTTTTTTATTTAATCAACTGGCCGTAGCAAGCGTCCTGGTACGCGCGTCATGTGCTCACGAATAACGGCTGTGCTCTCAGAATGACGCACCTTCACCAAGCCGCCTAAAACAGCTAAGTATTTTGAAATATACATGTCTGAAATGTGTCGTTGTTTGGAACAAGTCATTTACCGCAGAACTCGTTGAACCGGTTAATGCACCGCGCGAATCACCACCACAATCACAATCAATCAATCACGTTGTTACTCTTCACCTGCACCTGGCGCGTAAGACACCCGAACTCATCTAATTCCGACCTCAATCCGCCTTGACGAGCTGTGACGGCGCAGGAGGATACCGAGGCCTGACCCGGACGCCTCACAGTCTGCCGAGACCTGACCCGGACGCATCACAGGCCAGTCTGAGCACGGTACTGGCCCTGCGGCTGCCTGAAACGGGTGTGTTCAGTCGCGTGTAGGCGGGTCGACCGCCTCTCCCGCTCAGTCGCTGCCGAATGTCTCTGTATAGGCGACCTATACCGGCCTCAAGCGTCGTTGTGAGTTGAGCTCCGGTCTTTCGTGCATGTCTGGTGAACGAGGATGAGTGTCTTGGCCCGAGTTGTACAGCCGCCCTTCCATTATGGTCACATGCTCTGCTGGCAGCTTGCTGGCCACAAGTTTTTTTTTTACTGGTTCTACTAACACTGGTGGTTGATTTCGCGGAGAAGTGACAGGGTAAGCTGTACCAAAAATCGTCAAGTCATTCCAGAGCTTGCATAAAGTGGAAACCAGCATCTCCGCTGCAGCTTTGGAGGACTTCGGCGGGTGGTGTATGGAATGCTTCTTCCGTTAATATATGACGGTGTGCATATAATTTGGGCCAAGTTGGCCCGCCCGCTCGTCACCCAACCTGCTCGTTCGCGACGACCCTGCAGAGCAAGGAACGCGTGCGCACGTGTAACGATTTCAATCCTCTGTATTCGCATCAAAGCTCGCGGCATATGCGCTCCGTCGAGGCGCATGAGTGGGCCAACCTGGGGAGCTCATCTACATGTAGGAGGTTTTGAATCCATCTACATGTAGGAGGTTTTGAGCCCATCTACATGTAGGAGGTTGTGGAGGCACAGTAAAGTTTGGGTGGACATTCGTTTCGCGGGCTCTGGCTTTCGAAGATGAGACGCATCGCCAAATGTTCAAATTAAGCCTCGCCCTGCAAGGCAGCCTAAAATCCGCTAAGTTTTTTTCAAAAACAAATCCTTAACAGCTTTGGGCACGGTGTTGACGGTCTCGGCAGCTCACCTGGCAGCATGTCTACGCCTATGAAAATTTTAGATTGTAGACCCTAGTGGTTCATGATCTTTTAATTGACCACCGTGACCAGATCTGACCCTATGACTCACATTATTTAAACAGTAATGGTACACGTCTTAGGGCCTGTCTGAGGCGTTATCACGTTGGTGTTAGACCTTAATGCAGCCTGGCGGGTCAGCGCAACATGTGCACTCGCCCTTTTGACCTGCAATGACATGTCAGGGGTTAGATTTGTACTTTTCCACGAGCACTCGTCTCAAGGTTTTTCCAGCCAATGAGGAACAAGGCTCTGGTGGCGCCCGCTGTATGGCCCATGGGCCACCGGTGCGTAGCGTGTGGCGAGTGGGAACGATTCGTGGGCCGCTGAGTTTGTACTGTGTGTAATCACTTGCGGTGAAATCGCTATGGCCGTAAAGTCACTGGTGGGACGCCCCGTGCGGCGCTTACACCAGTGGTGATGCACGCAGGGTGGTATTTTTGTCACTGGGAATGCACCCTGTGCGACATTGCAGTCACTACTGGTAACCTGCGTGCAGACGACGGATGCCCTGTATCATGTAAACTGCTGGTGGTAGCCTCCTCGTGGTCTTTGGGTCGTTGGTGGCACACTGTTTGACTCGCCTCATGTGTACTCACGCGGTCAAGGGCACTTGATGTGACCCTTGACCACTGTTGGTCCTCTCCACGTGGCGCCCGAGTCCCGGACGCCACCCCAGCCCGCCCTTCGGCGAGCGGTCGGCCGGGCCGTCCTCCCGTCCCTGAGCCAGCCGGCCCGTGCGGTCGGGCCGCAGCGAGGCGGCGGCGAGGCTGGCCCGGGGGTCGGGCGAGCCGCGGCCGTTCACCTCCGCTGCGACCGGCGGCGGAGACTCGGCCGGGTGGGACCGCGGACGCACCGGCGGCTGCCGGGGAGCTGCGCAGCGCGGCTGACTCGGACGCGGACGAGCACAGCCCGGCTCCCGCCGCCCGCCGCCAACAGGTGAGCAGATGCCACGTTTGTGGTGAGAGGAAATTGTGCGGGTAGCTTCATTTTTGCTGTCACTGGTGACAGCAAACATGCAGTAACTGTTTATTCGTTGAATTTCCTGCGAGTTATGCGCGCGAGATATCCTTATCGTGTTTTTGGACGCATGCGTTTGAAGACACCTTTGAGTAACTGGCCTGCTTGACAAGCTCGTCTGCGGGCAAGGTATGAAGTTTACTTCATAATAGTCTTGTTCACGATTAGGCCAGGGTCCGAAGTTGGTGCCAACTCTCAAATGCATGAAAACTAAGATTAACTTGGACGAAACCCATTGATTGTTCTCAGATCTATGAAGAGTGGCGTCCCTTTTTGCCGGAACGTTTTGGCTCATCATGCACTGAATCATCATTTCACGTGTGTGCTACTTAATGATTTTATCCGATGGGACATAACTCGCGAACGCCAAGAAAATGGCTGCGGCATGACAAAACGACATTGTTCCCGTGGTAAAATTTATTGGCTATCAGGATGTTTCAGTGACAAACGATGGGCTCTCATTTCCCTCACTTTGCTCTCATTTTCTTATGTGACCATTCTCTAGCTCTTGGCTCCCTCTTCTTTGCTCTCACATGAGTACATTTCAGATTTGGCACCAACTTAGGGTCCTTTTTGAAAAATGATAGCCGTAAAAGGTCTAATCCAGGCTTTCATATCGTGCCAGAACCGGGTGGACGTTCAAAAGCGCCATGCTCGCGTCAAACTTGTCAAATGACCAGTGCCCACAGCACACGTCACAACGAATGGCTTGAAAAAACTCACTAGCGAGGTTTTTCAAGCTCATTTCAGCGTATGTCATGCTCTGCAGCCTGAAACGCGAGGGCTAGCGGTGCGAATCTTAATGTACATTTACGACGTACCACACGAATTCCTTATTTGTCAGAAGGGTTTCGTCAGTGAAGCTCTTCTCTGAAGCTATGTAAAACTCTTCTGACGAGCTGATGTGGAAGTGGTGAAAAGTTTGCAAGACGACGAATTCCAAAGGAAGCAGGGAAGCATGCCGGTCAAAGTGATTTTAGCAGTTAAGTCACTTTCTCTGCTCTCAATATGCGCTCCCAAATGCCTAGCACACAAACGAAAACATTGCGGATGTTGATAAAATGAACCTTTGGTGCACAGATGCAGCATTTGCAACAGTTGAAACATTTCGTGGGCGTGGTTATGGGACAAATACCACTATGTAATCCTTGCTTCATAAGCGTCCGCCTGACCCCGACATAATTTCAAAAACTGCAGCGTCACCTGCTGGCTCGTGACGCTTTCGAAGCAGTTGGCTGACAGTCCATTGCCTTTCCGCGTGTTCCAGATGAACTGGTCGGTCGGCGGAATGGCTCACTGGCAGCGGTGGGGCACGTTCCGCCGCGCCCGCCGCTGGCAGCTGGCGAACCACGGCTGCGGCGTCCTCGTCATCTGCGTTACCACCGCACTCTTTCTGCTCGGCTTGGTCGCCAGCTTATCAGATAAAGGCAGCGTCCTGTTTCTGACCTCCGGCCGGCCAGCGTCCCGGCTGCAGTCAGCCGCCGTAGAAGACAACGCGAACGATATTCACGGTAAGCTGGTGCTACCTCTCCGGAAACTGGTGGAGCCAGCTCTTCCAAGCCGGTCGTGGTTCTCCAACGACGCCTCGTGCGCACGGTTCACGACGCACTTCGCCCGCTCCGGTAGTCTACCGGCCGCGCGGCTGGCGTCCTTCTTCCGCTCCGGAAACACGTGGAGTCGCTACTTGCTGGAGGCTGCGACCGGGTTCTTCACGTGCGGCGCGACGTGGGAGGGCGAGATGCTCAACAGCCCACCGACCGGCCGCCTGTCATCCATCGTCGAGCTGCGCAGTCAGCTGGCCAACTCGAGTGGCGCTGCGGGCGCCTCCCCCGAGCTGCGTGACTCCGGCTTCGCTGGAGAGGCGCTCTCGCCGATGAGTCGCGCCTGCCTCGTGGGCAAGACGCACGCCTTCGCGCCTCACTGGCGCAGCGACGGCTCGACCGCGGGCCGACGACGGCGGCGAGCGCTACCCGCTGCCGGCCGTGCTGCTCGTGCGCGACCCGTTCCGGGCGCTTATCTCCCTGCGCCACTACCACGAGCGCTCGAGCGGGCTGGTCGCTCGCAGCCGCGCGACCGACGCTGCCTTCGCGGGCGGAAACTGGACCCGCTTTGTGGAGCGCTACAGCCAGTTCTGGTTCGAGCTGGCGGAAGACTGGGCCACAGGGCCTCGCGACACGTTGCTCGTGGCTTACGAGAGGCTGGAGGCCAACCCGGCGCACGAGCTGGACCGGATGCTGCGCTTTCTCGGTGTGACCCCGTCGTTGGAGCGGCTTCGCTGCGTGCTGAAGCACGTGGAGGGTGGCTTCCACAACCGGGACCATCCAATCGTGCCGGACGACAAGGTGTACACCCGCCCGATGATGGAGGCCGTGTGGTGGCGCATTCTGGAGCTCAACAAACTGCTCACGGCGCGCGGCTATCGGCGGTTGCCCGTGGAGAAGTACGCGTTCTTCTATGACGTCTGATACGTGCGACGATGCCTCGCCTGAGCGCAGGGCGTTCAGAATCCAGCTGTTGCCCAGGATTGTGCCCCATCTGATGTGTGTCATACGCCTGCTGTCGCATTCATGAAATTGTGGTGCGCATGATGCCAGCGGGCTCTCCAGCTAGACACTGATGCGTTGCGTGGTGTTAGACGCTGTCCTCGGTGCCAGAAATCCGGCCGTTATCGCTGCCTGTTGGCTTGTGGTGCACCGACCAGTCTAGATAATGCACAGTAAATGCTAACGACGGCAGCGAAATCTTCCGAGTGAAAATCCGGGCTCGACGGAGCGCGCCATGTGGTGGTTTAGGGATGAT